AGTAAACTGGCCATCTGTATCAACATCGACTTCTTCAGTAGTATCCATTGATTCCGGAATGGCTGAAATATTCGCCTCTTGTCATTCATTTTGTCATTCTTGACTTGCATAATTCATCTCGCGTTTTTTTCGTTCTACTTCTCTCTCTCTCTATTTCTCTCCATTTTCCCCAGTCAATTTGTTGCTTTTACTATAAATTGTGAACATCTCGTTTTTCTTCTTCGCATATATTGTGATAATCTTATTAGAATCATTATAAATACATTCTCATTATATAAACTCGATTAACATATATATATTATTGCTGTCACTCGAATCCTATGACCAGTCAAGTTCAGGTAGGAAGCTTTTACGTTTAAATTCTTTTGTCTTTTATAAATACCAGGATCTCAAATAGTTACCTTTCGATCTACGTAATTAACATGAGCAGAAGTATTAGATAATTATAAACTGATATCGTCGCACTTTCGGAGTGTATTCTACTCAATCGATCTTGAAAAAAAAGTTGCAAAGATGACACGCAAGAAACAATGACTTTGTGCTCTCGCTGGTATTCTAATTATCGTTCTCTATCTTCTTCATCTCATGAATCGTTTCATCAATATCTTTGGTCCAATGGTACAGTGTTCGATGAAAATGATCTAAATATTTGCCCAGCTTGCGTTCGTACATTCTATAACATTAAGGAAGCGACGAATATTTCAGCCATTCCGGAATCAATGGATACTACTGAAGAAGTCGATGTTGATACAGATGGCCAGTTTACTTTAAGGAATATTATATTTGCTGGTCGTAGTCACAAAAATTGCGTCATCTGTCCTCAAGAAATTCGAGGTGGATCAGTGGTAATGCCAAAAGATGCTCGACTAGATTTACTTATTTATCATTCAATGTATGCACCAGACGATGTTCATTGTTGCTCATCACATCTTCTCAAAAAAAAACGTTTAATGCCTAATCTTCATATCATTACGAAAAATCGGATGCAACTTGCATCATGCCTTTCGTCATCAGAAATGATTGATCTTGTTACCGATTGACTTTCACTTCTTCAGGAAGCTGTTACCGCTCCTCTTCTTGATTTTTTGGTTCCTTCTTTAAACGATGAAGATTATTTAGCCTGGGCAGATTGGACAAAAGAACAGTTTGATGATATGTATCACGTCACTTCATCTCATCTTCGTTCATCTAGTAATCATCATATTCGAAATGCTCTTGCTATGTTTTGGATTAAACTGAAAACAAATTTATCGTTTCGGCAAATAGGTTCTATGTTTAATATACCAGGAAATGGTGAAGATCGGCGTAAACGAGCTGCAGATGCATTCGATAGCGTTCGTCAATGTTTAATCAAAACCTTTGTATCTGGCCATTTAGGCGTTCAACACTTAACAAGAGAAGATGCCAAGAAACAAAATACAAGCTTCTCTATTGAATTTTGTTGGAAATAATGTAACCATACTTTGGGATGGTGCTTATCTATTTATGGGTAAAAGTAGTTCACACTTAATCAATCGAAAAACTTATTCAGGACCAAAGTAAGCTTTTCTTATGCATCGATTTCGACATTTCAAGTCTCTATTCTAGACGTCGTCATCTAATTAAATTCATGTCTCTTATGTTGCCCAAATGGGCTATATACTTGATACAATAAACCCATTTTTGGATACAATGAATGATGCCTTCATAGCAAGAAGTCTTACAAATACATGTGGTACTCTCATGAAATGGTGCGAGAAAGGTGATAAAATGATTGTCGATAGCGGATTTCATGACGTTATTGAAGGATTTATTGAAATGGGTTATGAACCAAAAATGCCTGAGTTTTTAATTAAAGAACAAAAGCAGCATACTATTGAACAAGTAAACAGATCCCGCTGAATTACAAAAGTTCGCTGGAGAATAGAGTCGTACCATGCCGGTATGAAAAAATGGACTTTATTACGTGATCGAGGATGTGGGGTGTGGATGTGGAGTATCGGTGTCGCTGAAGAAAAGAGTTTCTCTATGGCTACACCCATCCACAGCCACAGTCACTCCCCACATCCACACCCACAACCGCACCCACACTCACATCCATACCCCACACCCACACTCGCATCCGTATCCCACACTCACATCCATACCCCACACTCACATCCATACCCCACACTCACATCCATACCCCACACCCACACTCGCATCCGTATCCCACACTCACATCCATACCCCACACCCACATCCACACTCACATTCATACCCCACACGCACCCACATCCACACCCACCCAAAACTCAAATGAAAGGTATGGATGTCCTGTTTTGCCCGATTTAGCCCTTATATTATAACGTTATCAATACATGACAATGAGGAAATAAATCAATAATTAAACTTAATCTTAATACATTACATTACTTTATCTTTTCAAAGTAAAATAAGGATAAGATGTCACTCTTATTCTATATCTAGAGAAAGTTGAAGCTATTTAGTTATCTGTGGAACATTTAATCTATTAGCTTTACTTTTTAATTATATCTATGAAAAAAATACAGGTACCCCAATAAAATAAAAAGAAATATTTTTTTTCTCCCTATCTGCAACGAGACAAAACTATTCACCCGTGGCAAAATGTCATCTATACGCTCCTCTTTTTATTCTGCCTGTGAAAAAATACAAGTGAAACATACAGAAAGAATATTTTTTTTTCTTGATACCAGAACTCAACACAGTTCAGATTTTTCAACATGCTGTTTCACGCATAACAATTGTTATTATTTTTGTAGCTATTCGATATGATTCATGTACTAATAAACCATAACCCTGTAATAAATAAATATGATAAATACTACATTCTATTGAATATACTCTACCCATTTGTAACACTACTGGTCGATGCGCTATACGGTATTTTATAACTTTCAATAACATAAATACATTAATATTTATCTCTTAAATAATCATTTCGTATATGTTCATTAATAGATAAATATCAGTAGCAGAACTAAAATTTTACTTGTTTATTAATATGAAATAAGGTTTTTGTTACTTTTAATATTACCAATAGCAGAGAATCGTCTTGATGCAGTCATTTTAATTATATCAACTCGGTTTTTCCATCTGATTCATATCTCTGAATAATTTTTTTAAGCTAAAACGTTTTTGATTTAATTATTTGAATAATTTCTGTTTCAAAATTTTGTTAAATGAGAATATAAAGCATTTTGAGATCTATGGCATCTACACTTGACTTTTTATCATTGATATAATATCACCAAAATCAATATAAATTTTCATTTTCTTTTCGACTAAAATCATTCAATAAATGACTTTAAAATTCGTTAAAAATTCAAGATTTGTTTCGTTTACTTAGAAGTGACGAGCAATGTATTGAAGCATCAATAGCAAGAGGAATATTTTAGTTATGTGTTTGCATAGTTCTTTATTTTGTCTCATTTTTTATTTTAAGTTTTATTGAGTGTGAATTTAAGACATGTGGAAGAAATATTGGAACACATAGAACATCAATTGAATAAATATATGTTTGGATAAGATACAAAAAATAAAGTAAACTTCCAAAAGCTTTTTAAACAAAAATCTATTTCTACTTTTAGAACCAATTGAAAAAAACTTGAAAGTATATTTATGCATATTGAAAATGATCCAAATTCTTATAAAAGATATGCAAATAGATTTACATCAACTTAGTTTGATTATTTTATGATTGATTCATCAAATGAATAACTAAAACAATTTACATTAGGGATCAATATTATTCATAAGTTAGGATTGATGAAAACATTCGAATTCAACTATTAACTAAAAATTATGCTTTTAACAATAGTTCGACTTTATATTTGAATTATAAGTAGATGTTCATACGACTCAGAAAATTTTAGAAGCGATCATAGTCCGTCATATGGTGATATAATATGTGCTACATTATAATGGAAAGCTTTTTCATTTATTACTATAAGTTTTTAACTTTCGATACTCAAATGGTTCTATGAATTTCAATAAATTAACCATTTAATTCAGTCCTAATCTAGAAGAATCATGGGAAATAAATAAGCAAAGCATACAGCTCCAAAATTGGAACATGTGTTTGTTTCGGACATGTAGAGGTCCGATAGCCATTCTCACTACCACCTTTGACATATGCCTATTCTTCGAACATTAGCGTGGACCATACCAATGATCTATTTAGATCACTGTTTCGCGGTAGGCAAGTTCATGGCGCTGTGAAACTCAGTTACTCAGTCGCTTTTTAAACAAAGAATCAAATACTTCAGTGTTGTTTACGCGTGAGAGACAGCATCACTCCCATTGGAACGCTGAGGAACATCATGACGAAGAAATAATGATATCTTTTTTTTTATCCTTGTGAAGATATTGTATGCAAGTTAGATTCACTGGATTGTCTTATTCCCAGTGTTATGATGAAAACTTTACATATAACCTTATTTAGAACATCAAATAATATTTCAATATTGTTACAAGGCTTGTAAGTGTCTTTGAGCACCCATTTTGACCTAATAAATTATAGATCTCGAAGTACAAAAAAAATCATTTAACTAACTTTCAATTTATCTAAGCTTATTCAAAAACAGTGATTTTTAATAAAAATTAAATAAAAAACTCGGCTTAATCAGTTTAATAAAAGCAAATCTAATTTCAGCTGTTTCAGTCGTGATTCATACTCATATATAATATTCCTGGCCATTGAATAGATTGTTAGTTATTTTCTCGGCATTTCTGAGTTATTTCTCTGTAATCCTAAGAATTTTTTTTTGTCAGCTGTATTTTTCAACATTGTCATCTATTCTATACTGCAACTGATTGTCGTAGACCTAAGTAAAGTTATCTTCTCTCTTTCCAAATTTTCTGGAGAACATCTCATAAGAAAAATTTGAAATTTTCAGGACAGATTGAATTTGACGAGCAGAGGAAAAGTTGTTCACCCAAATGCTGTCTGCTATTCTATGTTTGATTGAGCTTAAACGTTTTTTTCAGACACTAGACACTGTTTTGTGTGGATGTATTTCGAATAAAAAGTCAAAATATCGAAGCTACCCTACAAAATGCATGTTTTTTTTGGATAGAACTACCAAAAACCAGCCGAACAATATTGGAAACAAAAAGAAAATACTTATGCCAAACTGTGTGTAGTATATGTGAAAAAAGTTTCAAGTCGATCAGAGAAAAGAGAGCATTTCTACATTTTTTTTTCATGAAAAGGTTGGTTTGATAAAAACATAAAGCAATATACATGTAACGATAAATAAAGTGCGAGATGTAGTGACAGACTGGTGGAGTAGCTAGCCGCTGCCCTCGGCAGTGATGTTTATTCAGCTACTTCACATATCCAGAGTGTCTATTTCACATTCAACACAAGCTTATATATGATAGAGAAAAAAAGAGAGAGAGAGAGACAATACAGGGGCAAAAATAGAGAGAGGAAGAGGAAAGAGGAAACAAGAAGAGCAGCGAGCCGTAACGTATATATCGGCACAATCTTGTGCCTATAACATTCGAAAGATCAGCCACACGAAAACATAATGCCATTAGACAAGAAATATTTCAGTGTCATCCGAAGTACAATAATTCTCGTCATCATTAATTCTCTATTGCTTGAGCATAGTACATATCGAATATTTCCTAGTTATTGTTTTCTATTTTCACTACAAGACAAGCGAAAAACAAATTCAAAATTAATCTGTTAACGATTCTTTGATTTTCTTTCACTCCTCTGTTTGTTAATCGATTGGCGCACATTCAAAATTACGCAATAAAATACATTAGAAGTAGCCTATTTTCGATAAAAAATTTTTAGAGTTTCTCGGAGTTTTATGGAATTGGAATCGGAGTCAAAAAAATAGAAATTCTTGGAGTCGGGTTTCGGAATCAAAAAAAACTCGACTCCGCAGGTCTCTAGTAGATACGAATAAAGCATTACACATGTCCACACGCACCTCACCATTTTTTGTCTATTATTTCCAAGCAAGCTGTAAATGTCCAATCAAAAGAAGTGCTACATTGCCTACAACAAGTAAAATGCAATTGTCCAAAGTATGTGGCGACAGCGCTTCAGCAAATGTCATCAATGGTGGTAAAATAATAATAGCCGTCCAAAATTGAATTTGATTTTGAAAAAAATAGAAGAAAATCGAGATAGAAACGATCGATGTAATCCAAACACAGGAACTTCCTTCTAATGAGCGTTGATATCGACGTTTTTCCACAGTGCACCACGCATTGACCCAGTAAATATGTCTACCAAAGTAAATTCCGATTGGTTCTGCTAGACCATCCCCAAAGCCAAGAATTAACAGAGTCACAAGGGTCATATCAGCTTGTTTTGTGACTGCAAATATCCACTGAAAAGCTTTGTTTATTATTGTACCAGACAGAGTATTTCCTAAACTGCACCATAAGAGTGTATTGGGTCGATCTTCTGGTCGATCAATTGTATTGAAAAGAATCATAAAAAATCGAAAGCGTTCCCTTAATGGTTTTATAAGAATAACTGTGGATAAGAAAAGCATCTCGAAGTTCCAAATAGTATAAATCGCTTTTGGGACATCAGTACTTCCTAGCTGGATATACGATACTACGCAGATAGTAGAGAAGTGAACTATCTTGCGTGCATAGTTCACTTTAAAAGGAGACGAATTATTAGTAATTATGTAACCTTTTTCGTCATGATCGCAAAAGTAGCGGAGTAATAATCCACAGACGAACAAAATTGATAAATGTATCAATACTATTGTTAATTGAGTAAGCAAAAACAATGGAGTAATAAAGGTCTTTGGATAGATAACTACTGTTGAAATGACTACAGCAATACTATACAATATAGTGATCACGAGAATGAATAAATCTATAGTTTGTTTCCACGGTTTAGAATAATCACCAGCCACATCACCTGGCAAACATTCAACAGTGGATGATTTTTGACTTATCAACGGCGTCTGATTGTTGTACTCATCTTGTAATGCTGATATCTTTTCTCTAAGCTCTTTTTTTCGTTCGATTTCTTCGGATGTTGGAGGACGAAAAATAATTCGTAGCGCAAGCCAACTGACAAATAATGAACCCACATTTATTATTACAATGATAATTATTTGAGATACAGTTAGATTTGGCCATAAATTTCCTTTGACACTCGATGGTACTGTTGTTTGGTTGCTTTTTGTCATAATTTTATTTGAATTTTATATGAATATTTGATAGAACTGATATATCTATTAAAACAGATAAATAGTATAGTATTCTGACCATGTTATGCTCATAAGTATATACAGAAAAGCTTTCAGCGAAATTCCTATATAATTCAAATGTGAAACACAATCAAATCGTTCTCCTTGTAAACGAAAGTCCTGCTCAAATTGATCATATTATTTTCGTTGGTGAGATCAGCTAACAGATCTAAATGTTTCTTTTGGTCTGTGATACTGGGAAATCTTATCCATTCTGTGTGACTGTGAGGCAATGTTGGGGAGAGGTCCTCACTTTTCTCGCTATATACTGCAACATTCATTTCCAATCGTGTTTCACAAAATGATCTGTCCTGAATTAGTTGATAGGAATATAATTGAAGAGAATAGCACAACTGTAGGATATATTTGCGTAAAGTATCAATAGAGTGAATATGGACGAAAAGAGTAAAATTTTCTATTACAAGTAATTAAGGAAAAATTATAATTTTTCAAAGACATCGTTCAATAGATAGAAAGTTTTTGATACAAAATCTGAAATTTAACCATTATGGAGAACAACTTTAGGATGTAGCCTTCTCTATGCTATCTTAGGCTCTTTTTTCAAGAGATAGAATTTTCATTGTTTAAAAGATGAGAGATGAAACTGCATCGAATGATGTATATCAGAAATTTCTCAAACTTTTTCTCCGATTTTGTCATCAAGTTTATTTAAAACGAAATATTGTGTAATGTAAAAGTTTTACGCTTTTGATTTTCATGAATGCATTAGAATCATCAATTAAAAATCTATAAATTACGTAAGTCTGATGTTCTAAGGTTTAGCCAATCATGAGTTATAAATATTTTACTAAGTGTTGTTATCGGCAGATTTTTCATAAAAAATTTACTTTTTTCTGATTTTTCTGTCGAAAAATCCACCTTATAAGTCTCGGTTTTTTTAAAAAGCTTGACAGAAGACTCTGAGAACACTTGTTGAAAAAATCTGATAGTCACCGTTCGATGCAGTTTTCAGTGTCCGACTCCGGTCGGGTCACGAAAGTTACACTTGAACTCGGGTCTGGTCGGGCCATACATTTGAATATTTTTCAGCTAAAAGTTCTTTCAGAGTACGTGAAAAAGTTTGATGCAACGATAAACTATGTATCATGTATTTTCTGTTCTATTTCATCATTTTGTCTTCATCGATATAACATAAACATTCGTAGCAAGTACATTACATGTTAAATCGTAATACAGAGGACTTGGATTATATCCATCAAACAATAAGGAAAATAAGAAAAATTTTTATTTCATAAGGTTGCTGCCTTAACTACGCAATATCGAGGAAATGTAAAGAAAGAAAAAAGGTCGAAGACATATTCCTTGTTTCCAACTAGGTAATAAAGTAAAGAAAAACAAAGAATTGAAAAATTGAATTTCTCAAGAAAAGAGAAAAGAAAAGCAAAAAAATATAAAATACAACGTTGAAGAAAAAAACTAAAACCCAGCTGGCTAAAATTGATTAAAAATTAACTTTTTTCTTAAATGGGGTCAATTTGAATTAACTTTTAAAAATATGTTTGACTAGGTTCTGGTCGTGTTGTGTCACACAATGAGAATTCGTCGCTGGGTCGGGTCGGGTAACAAAAAATTGACCCATGTCGGACACTGCCAGTTTTATCTCCTATTTTAAATGATGGAAATCGTAGATCTCTATATTGTTCCTATCAACAATTATTCTAAAAATTCTCATCCTTCTTTTATTTTGAGATGTATAATTGTTCTGCTTGGAATTCTGTGAAACCAGATTGAAATTGTAAAATATTTATGAATCCACAGAAACTGAGTTGAATTCATAGTCGAAAATAGCAGATGTGTGAATATCCAATTAGAAGAAAACAATGAAATGTATCAAAACTAAATACTTATTGAACTGCTAGCATCTTAGTTAGCTACAAATACGAACTATAATCAACAATCCAAATAAAACTTCAAATGTTTAGATATCAAACAAAAAGTTTCTCTATTCAACAAAGAAAAGGAGTGGTACTTTGATTTTATTTCAAAGTTAAAGTCACGCTTTTTGCACTAAAGACGAACTTTTTGAATAAAAACTTTGATTTGTTATAAAGTTTTATCAAGGATTCCCAGGTTGAAGAATTCCAGGGGTTAGCTATGGGTTCCGTCACTTCAAGTTTCAATTTACTGAGACTCGCATCACTACTTGCAATTTTTCTAATATCAATTCCTATTAGGAGAAGACTTAAAACTTGTTATGTTCAAGATAATCCTAATTTTTTGCAGCACATCTAAAGTACAAAAACACAATCAAATTTTTCATCCAACGGACTCATTTAAATACTTAATAATAATCTGTATTCAAATAGAAATAGATTCTAATACTGTCGAAGAATCGTGATGAATACGTCCGTGCTAACTCAGAGTACAATTATAATTGGTATTTATCGATAGCTCTCATTGAGTTCTATCTGATACAACGCACAAGTCTACATGCAAGTATTTTCTCAAGAGTTACGAATTTGCTACTAACTTTACTTACGCGAAATAACCATTTTTCATGTATTGATATTTCAAAATCTGACTGCTTACATGTACTAGAGATAACATTTGACATCAATTTTCGTTTAAATAAACACAAACTGCCTTTGCAAAAAAACAAGTAATAAAGTTAATTTGTGTTGCTTTCTACGTGTTTATGGAATTCCTTATCATAACGTAGTATACTATCATCGCAGATCATGAGATTTTCTATTCATTTAGTCAATCATTATACTAACCAACCACAGATAGAGATGGAAAATTTCCGTTACTAGACAGTTACATAAATAGTTAACGATTAAAGAAAACTTTATGGATTTGATTTTTTTCATTAAAGAAAAAGTTTTCTTGAAAAAATGATGAATTTTTAATAAAGTTTATTCTGATCTCATTGCGATCGTAATACATTATCTTATGATAAGAAATTCCGAAATAAATAGAAATAGGACAAATTAACTTTATTCAGATAAATTGATGTACAATGTTATGTTTTTACTTATTATTAAAGAAAAGATTTTGAATAAACTTTTATATATATTATACCGTTATCAATACGTAGAATATGTATATTTTTTTGTGAAACCCACGGAGAAATTTTTGGATTAAAACCACGGTCAACCGCGGTGTTTTTAAACTCACCGCGGTTTTCCAACATGACACCGCGGTGAATATTATGGCGACCGCGGTATAATATATCGCGGTTAGTCGCGTTTTCATACACCGCAATGCACATGTTCATGGCGGCAATACCATATATCGCAGTTAATCGCGATTTTATGAACCACATTGAACATGATTATGACCATGGTATGAGAGTATTGAGGAATGTGGGTGTGGGTGTTCTCTGAATGGACAGCCACACCCAAGAAGCCAGAAAATTATTGTGATGACAAACAAAATCGAGAAAGTCGATATTCTACATGTGTTTGATTTAGTTAACGTCATATAGTATCAATTGTTTGATGATTATCTCCCTTCTTTTTATACTTAGAATGAAATGTAACCGATCGTCTATACAGTTATTCATATAAGAAAAAACAATTGATATGTAACTTTTATCATTATTATCTGTAATAAAAAAATAAACTATTCTGAAACCGTATGATTACTAATAATTTTATGTATATTTTTTATTCTCATTTTTTCCTCTGTTTTTCCTCCTAAACTTAACGATGACTTAAATAGAAAGAGACTAGTGAACTCTACATTTTCCTAAATTTGAAGACTATTTGGTTAAAACAAGTTAGCGAGCTCAACATTTTCCTAGATCTAATGATGATTTAAATAAAAAACGACTAGAGAACTCTACATCTCGAATTTACTATATACTTTTGAATTAAAATTATAAAATTTGTAATTACACTACATTGCATCAATCACTAATACAATCAAGTTCAATTTCGTTTAACAATTAAAATTTCCACAATCTAGATTTAATTTTGCCTAAGTCTTAATTTTGCCCGAAACATATACCCTGTACATATATTTTTTGTGATAATGTTAACAAAAAAAACCAAGCATTAATGCAGGGTAACATTAACTACACTTATCAAATGGTCTCTAAATGAATAAATCGCACTGATTGAATAAGATCGATGTAGACGAAACAGCTTGTTTGTTTTATCAGTTACGCTGTCTTTTTATTTATTGACATAATAAGAAAGTCTTTGTGCTTCTTATTATATGTGCCGATTTTTATTCGACTAGATGAAAGACTGTAATAGGGA